ATTTGAATCCTCTTGAGGCCTATAAATACCCCTCAAATCTCAGTTGAGATTACAACCTTTTGAGAAGCTAGAAGTTGAGAAAAGCTTTAGGAAAAGTCTTGTTTTCAATAGCTTGAGTGTTCACCTCCTTTCTTTTCATTGAAATCTTTGTAAAAGGGTGAACCACTTGTAAGAGGTTGTAAGAGGTGTGTAAGAAGGAGGTTGATCTTCGCCTAGTAAAGGAAGATCATTAGTGGATGCCGGTGGCCTCGACGGAAGAGGAATCGGAGGAGTGGATGTAGGTCACGATTGACCGAACCACTATAAACTACCGTCTTTTCTGGTTTGCATTTTATTCTTGCCATTTACATACTGCAAACTACTTTATTTAGTCACTATGCTTCCATACGCTTCTAAGTTATTAAGCTTTTCAAATTCGGTTTTTTATCATACGAAAATTTTGTCAAAACCGATGTTTTAATCCGCTGCACTAATTCACCCCCCCCCCCCCCCTCTTAGTGCCGCTCCGATCCTAACAATATGTGCATATATGCAATAGTTATAAAGTAATATATGCCAAAACATAATAAGCAAAAAGATTATGTATCAAGTCACACGTGCCATCACTCACGTGATTGGCTTGCTAGGCACCTATGACTAGCAATCTCCTACTTGACCTAAAGCCAATCACCTATGTGTCTAATCCCCATCATACCCCTGTGACGCTCAAAGACAATCTAAGACAACGACTTTGTCAATGGATCTGCAATGTTATCTTTGGATGGAACTATTTCCACTGCTGCATCTCCTCGGGTTACGATCTATTTGATAAGGTGGAACCTCCTCAGAACATGCTTAGATTTTTTATGAGACCTAGGTTCCTTCGCTTGAGCAATCATCCCGTTGTTGTTGCAATATAAGGAGATCGGCTCCTCGCTACCTAGCACGACTCCCAAATCTACGATGAACATCTTCACCCAGACTCCCTCCTTTGCTACATCTGATGCAGCAATGTTGTCACGCCCCTCAAAATATCCATGATATTAAAAAATTTTCAACACAAATCCATCCAGGATCCAATCACACATTTGAGGTCACTAAGAAAATATTCAGATCAAAATTTCACCTCTATAATCTACAAATTTATAAACCCTATGCAGTTCATAAACATACAACACATCGCTCGATGATTCATAAAATCTGAACCCAACTCACCAAAATAATAACTACAACATAAATTCACAAGTATGAGAGTCTATACAGTCACAAAACCAACATTTACCATAAGTTCATATCATTACACGAATTAAACTTAACATTCCAGAATCCTAGACACGAGAGGTCCTTTAATCTTATAAGAAATCCACAAGTTTAGATTCATCATCAACATTTCATTAGATGCAGAGTGTGCTTATACAATAAAAACATATATACTAATAAAGATCTGCCCAAAATCTTTTAGCTTTCCACTGCCTCAACCCAACCTTAACATTTAAGCGAGCGACAAGCTATCCTAAAAAATTTATACAACAACGGGGTGAGCATATAAAGCTCAGCAAGTGACTAACATATCCATGGTAAAAGAGGGCAATTTCCAAAAAAATAAGGTTTCAAAATGCAAGGCAGAATATAATAATTCATAGACGTAATCTCATTTGGGCAGAATCACAAATGTCAACTCAATCAAACATATTTGGTTCATAACAGATGGAGCATAGAGTAATTGGAGCATATCAATAGCATATGAAATGTTCCGGAGCATATCAACAACCTATGGAACATTTCGAAGCATATCAATAATAAATGAAACATTTTGGAGCATATCAAAGGCGTACGAAATGTTTCGAAGCATATCAATAACAAATGAAACATTTTGGAGCATATCAAAGGCGTACGAAATGTTTCGAAGCATATCAATGATAAATGAAATATTTCGAAACATATCAATGGCGTATGGACCATTTCGGAGCATTTCAAAGATGAATACGAAACAGAAGCTCAAATGTCGAATTTGACATTGCATTCATATCATTCATATCCAAAGCATTTATAGAAACACATAACCAAAGCTCTGGATACCATATCAAGCATACAGAAGGTGAAGTGGGACCATAACATAATATGGTACATCCATTTCTGAATGACCACCAAACATAAGTCTCCCACGTCTGGGAGGTCTCCCACGTTTGGGAGCTCCATCCACCCACGTCTGAGTGAAGTCATAGGGGCCGGCAGAGCATCTCAAGCTCTATGCATAACTCCCTTCACTATTTCTGGCGAAGGTTCACAATATCCCACAAACACCAGAGTACAAAAAGATAGTATGAACAATGAATAGCACATATCGGAAGCACACGCGGAACAACCAAACGTACATGTGCCTTTACGAGTCAATACGAGGTAAGCAATAATCTTTCACCATTGTAATCAGAATTGAAAGGAAATGAAAGCAAGGGCACACATGAAATCCAAGCAATCACATACAACTCAATTCAAATAAGAAAGTTAGATGAATTCGATATCCAAAGGAATGAAACTAGAATAGGCACATATCGAAAGCAAATGCGAAACAATGGGATATACATGTGCCTATATAAGTCAATGTGATATAACATAAACGCTACACAATATGTTCAGGAATGAAAATAATTTATAGACAAGAGCAAACGAGAATTCAAGCATTAATATAAGCCACAATTGAGTGAAAGGAACTGAATAAAATCTATTTCCAAATGAATGAAAACAGAAGATGCGAAATCGATCAAAGCTCGATTTCTGACAGAATTCGAGAGGCACATTGGATAAATACTTCAGATTGTCAATTATGCTCCAATTCCCTCAAGAAGGCTATTATTAAAAGATATACCAATCTATTTTCTGATGAAATAAACTTTGTATGAATCATGGTTTCCAACAAGGAGTTACCTTTGATTTGGTAACACAAGGTCAAAAACAAAATCACTGTTTTGTAGAATTCATAAGGTCGGATTCAACAGATAACAAGATAGGCATTTGAATTCCAAATTTTTCAATCTATATGTCAAAAGAAAGGTCTATGAGTCTAGTTTCGAATGAAGACAGTTTGGTACAAATCAGAATTTCCAACAGGGACTTATTGGTATTTTACTATCAAAAGGTCAGAAATTTTGATCCCTGTTCTGCAGCATATATATGCTCATTTGAAACAGACGTTTGGGTAAGTATTCGGTGTCCAAATTCTACAAAACTAGTGTCAAAACAAATATATAAGAGTCTAATTTCAAACAAGCTAGGTTCTGCCTAAATCCACATTTGGTGCTAAAAATTATACCTGAAACAGTGTATAGGGTTTAGTTTACTGAAAAAATTCCAGATCCTTGGTTTTATGTCCAAAGAGAGAAATATCAGGTTCTAAGCAGAAATCTTTCAGAATCAATATAAGAATTGAGACTAATACTTCTGTAAGATGGGGTTAGAACACTTGCCTTTGAGAATTATGACCCCAATTGAGAAGATTTGAGTAAGAAACCTCAAAGCCCCAATTTTTTTCTTCTTCTTCTTCCCCATTTTTTTTCTCTTCTTCTTTCTTTCTTTCTATGTTCTTCCACACAGCTGCCTTCTCTGGTTCCTTAAGAACGAAGGCAGAGAGGCTTAAACGATGGGATTTATATTTTTATATATTTTGCAGTTTAGTCCTTGTATTATTATATTTACGATTAGATCCTTAGGGTTTACATATAGGTCCTCATATTTTTTTTCTTTTTGAACAAATCCCCCAAATCTTATGAATAAGTTCTCAAATTCATATTTTGGCTCTTTTATCAAATTTAAAATAGATACTTACATTACAACTAGAAACTTATACGAAAATTCAGAAATGAGGGATGTTACACTCTCCCCCCCTTAAAAGAAAAATTTAGTCCTCTAAATTTATCATACCTCTATCGATGAAAAGATGGGGATAAACCTTTTTCATTTCCTCCTCTAGCTCCCAGGTTGTTTCCTCTCCAGAATGATGTCTCCAAATTACTTGAACTAGA